TAAATTTGGACATAACAGCATGATGATTAATGAAGTTTATTTCCATACTTGAAATTTTAGGATCAGTATAAAGAAGAATTTATTAAATTCTTCTTAATGCATGCATTATGTCAGTATGATGTATGTGTTTTTAAGATTGTTCACAAAATACTAACGTTTTCGGATAGAAAAAAAAAAAAAAAGGAAAATGTTTTTTTTTGGTCACCAAAACCGTGACACAAACATGTCATGAAGAAGAATGGTATCCACAAAGCATCACTCAATAACAAATCTCTTTTCATAATACTGCATAACATAAATTAAACTCTGAATTCCAACATGATGAAATGCTTTTTTCGTTTTCCTTCCTTTACACTAAACAAAAAATTTATTATGAATCGCATTTATTCAATACCCGAAAATTCATTAGGTACTCTAACCGAAAAAAATAGTTGATTAGATATATGAAAATATAAATATAAGAAATTATATTCCTCAGAAGGCAAACAATTATCTTCCTCTCTTATTCATAAATTTTTTATCATAATTTTTTTATATATATATAATTTCTAACGTGAAATAATAATGTTTTCTCTTTGTTGTTGACTTAATTTTTTGCCTGTATCTTCTCATGACTACATGAGAATACAACATCAAATTAATTAATTGTTATATGGTTTGTCGCTACCCGACTTTCAACAAAAATTTCAAAAAATTCTAATTCAAAAATATTTGTATGTTTATTGTTTTACTAGGGGCGTGACTTAAATCATGTTTTGGAGTCGTTATCTAATATTAAAGGAACTAGAAAACCTAACAAAAATACTAGATCAAAGATTTTAGGATAAAGAGTTGGTTATGTTTTTTGAAAGATATCAATTACCCAAAAGTTTCAAAACCATCCTTTTTGAGGAAAAATACCACATCTAGTTTAACCCTAAAATTTTATCTCATTAAAATTTCTAGTTTTGCCAAAATTATTCCTAATTCAAAATTCCATGTTTTATTTTCTAAACCAATTGATTTTTTTTTTATTTGTGATATCATATTGAATCGATCATCAAACCCCATCGTAAGAAGTCTCATCAATTCAATATCGAATTTAATTTAAGTCTCGGCTTAGCCGATATGTTGGAAAATGACCTAATTAATAAAATGTGATTTATTTGAATTAACATTAGTCCTTATTAGATAGGAGACTTGTTAATTTTCACCTAATTTTTCTCTATATATTTTGTTTTTTTTTTTTGTTATTTTCTTTTCATGTCTTTTTTTTATTATTATTTTCCTTTCATTTTTTTCAAGTTGATGGAGAATCGTCATTAGTCCCTCAAAAATAGAAGACTCAACGATTCATCCATCTATTAGTTACCTAATTTAACTAAGGGTTATTCAAGCCATCTTTAATATTAAATAAAAATTGAAAATTAAATTAATAATCCCAACATATTTATAGGAGTCTAAAATCTTATCACAAATTTTAAACTTAATTAATACTAAATATTAAACTAAGCACGAAATTTAATTATTGAAAGAAATTAAAGACTAAGCATTAAACTAAATAAATTGAAATAAATCAGCAAAAGGAGCCCAAAAATTCAAAAAATAAATAAATAAGTATAAACTATGCATGAAAATAAGAGACATGTATTAAAATTTTAGATTTAATTTACCTAGAGAAATAGTTAAAAAAAATGAAGAGTGAGGAAAATAAGGGTCATTGGGCCTTTGGGTTGTAGTAGGCTTTTGGCCCATTAGGCCAAGCCGACTAGGCGAGCTCGCTTCCTTCCCCTCTCGAGTTTGGGCTGGGCTAAACTTAACCCACTCGATCACATAGGTTAGGCCAAACCTAGCCCACTTCTTCCCCCACATGGGCTTACTTAAGCCCGACTCTTTAATCTTTAACTTCTTCAATAGCCTAGCCACAAAAACAAAAGATAAAAAATATCAAACACTCCAAGCATTTCATCTTTTTTCCAATTCCTCTTCTTCCCCAAACCAATTCTCTAGATTTAGACCCATCACTAAAATCATACGATCTCCTCTCTTTCCTCTCCCACAAGAAACACTAAGCCATCTCTTCTTCCTTTTTTTTTCTCTAATTTTCAAACAAGCCAATCCTTTACCAAAGCATCCCGATCTCCTCTCCTTCTATCAAACTAGAAACCCTAGGTTTTATCTCCTTCCTTAATCTCATCCATATCTTAAATTAAAACCCAAAACCAAAAGGGACTAAATCCTAAAATCAAATCATTTCAAGCCATCAAACTTTTTCTCTCCTTCTCATCACAAATTTAAACACACACAAAGAAAATTTATGGTAGTGGGAGGTTTGCATGATGACAATGATAAAATCACTATCATTGCTCTTTTTTTTTTCTTAATTGACAACTAATTAAAGCTACAAATGAAATAAGGAAGTAAAAAATTTTAATTGGATGTAAGATTGATGAGCCTAGCTTGAGAGGAACGATTGCCGGTGGATGATTTCCACTTCGAGGGGTGAGAGTGTTCTTTCAAACGCCCATATACAACTACTAACCTAATGACCTCTCATAGGAAACCATGAGCTCGTTTACCCGAAGCCTTAAAACTTTCCTTCTTCAAAAACATAATAAGAACCATAAGTTTCTGTCTAATCCTCTATTGAAATTCTTTCCGTCTCTTATGCCTCAATGAGGATTTTAAAATCCTTTTTGCATAGAGAACCAATAGGAACCCTAGCCTTTCTCTTTGAAATACCCCACAATTCCTCTCTTTACCTCTTTTTCTCTAAATTATATCTACCTTTTTCCTCTAAAAATTTCCATAATTCCCTCTCTCCCCTCCACCTAAAACCCTAATTTGACCTCTATTTATACCCAAAAGTCTTTTATCTTCAACCTTGGGATCAATTCCGTTAAACCCAATCTCCCCTACGACAAAAAGAACTCTCCATCCTTGTTTTCATACAAAGCTAAAACCTATATTTTATGTGTGTGTTTTTGCTTTGCTCGTTTGGTTTTTTGTTGTGTGCGTTGTTACAAGTGCGAGTTATGGTTTGTCTCTCTAACATGTTGTCTTAATCGATGAAGATGAACGAGTGTCAAAGGGTGGGGTAGTACAAGGCAAGTGTGCCATGGCAAAGCTAGAAGAATTCAAACGACAAGTCATTCCGTGATTCTAAATTAGTCCCGTTGTTCATGTCCTATGTCAATTTAGGTCTCTATAAGTTTACTTTTATTTCGATTGTACCATCCAAGCGCATCGTTATAGTTCCTATGCTTTTAATTTTTTCAATTGTATCCCTATATCTTTCAATTTCAATTCTAATATTTTGAATTATCCTAATTATGTCCTTAATTGTTTCCAATTACATTTAATTTTCATTCGAGTGCACCCTTGATCGAAACCAAGAAATACACCTAAATAAAAGGATAAAATAAGATAAATAGTAAAATGTGATAAATAAATTATAAAAAGAAAAGACAAGGCAAATTAAAATGATAAAATTTATTTGATTTTTTTCTTTCTTTTTTTCTTATGAAATAAAATATAAATTAAACCTATAAACTAACATAAAGATGAAAATAGCCGAAAAACTACTATAACCCAAATTTTGGGTTATGATTCATGTACCTTTTGAATTCTTTTGATTAAAACTCCGTATTCTTTTTCATATTGATCGAGTTCCTCTATTTTTTTTTTTAATTTCATTTCTCCATTATAATGTTGTTAGTTGTCATGAGTCGATGTGTACTAATATGGTGCGTCTATTTCTAAAAACATGACATGTGTTATACATGATATGTTTCGAGCATTCAAGATAGGGTCTTAAAAACACAATAACCTAGAAATTAAAAAAAAAATTGATCCTTGAACTCTTTGAATTATTTTGATTAAAACTTTATACTTTTTGAATTATTTTAATTGAATCCTTCCATTAGAGTTCCATGTATAACATGTGTTATATTTTCAAGAGTGGGCAAGTGAGCTTACAACTAATGGTGTTGTAACATAGGAATGGAAAGAAAACAAGATGAAAAATATAGGAACTCAATAAACACGAACAAAAGTATAGAATGTCATTCAAAATAATTCAAAAAGTAGAGAAATCAAATCACATATGGGCAAAACTCATTAACCAAAACATATATAGAAAAATTTTGAAGAATAGATAAAAATTATCTTGATTTAAAAAATATTCACGCCTACTAGTGCCTTATGCTTTTAACTAACTTGAGATGACATTTAAGATGAAAAATTTATGTTACTTTAAAAGTAATTAATAATACTTACTTCATATATATATAAAAGGTATTGCTAAATTCATTAACCAAATTGTTATTCCCACCACTTGTTTTTCAAAAAATTACCAAGACATTCTTCACCAATTACCAATAACTACTATATAACACATATTAATGGAGGGTGTATTGACAATGTTTTGAAAAAATGAGTGGGAATAACAATATGAGTGGTGAATTTAGCAATAAAAAGAAGAAGATAAATATAAAAAGAGAGAGAAACAAGAGAGAGAACGAAAAAAAATTGAATCTTATCACTTTTTGTGGTTGGAGATATGATTTTTTCTATATCTATCTATTTTCTTAAAATAAGTACATAAAATAAATATTATTAATTAATCATTAATTATCATTTGTCTCTATTTTATTGTTGGATATATATATATATATATAGAAAATACAAGTGGACATAAAAATAACAAAAGGATAATCTCTAACAAATAATTGATATCTTTATTAGATAAAGGAATTATTTAAACTCCAACATACATATTTAGGTCCTTAGACTCATATATACATGCATTGATGCCTACTTGTATGCATGTTAATTACACACTAGGCCTTGCCATTTAATTAGATTTTATTTTATTCTACTGTAATAGTCTAAAATATTTAACCCTACCTAATTAATTGTATTAATCCACTTCCACAGCTTAATTTCCAAATTGCTCGATTGCTTAACTACTCTAAAATCCTTTAACTACTTAATTGCATCCAAGACTGTGGTCAAGTCGGCTAATTTCTCCACAAAGTTAATGGGGCTTCCATGATAAGATGTTGTCCCATTAATTGTGCAATGGGATTGGCATAAATGCTCCATGAAATCCATATGGGACCCTGCATGGCAATGTGATTTTGGCAACTGGCTCACTTGTGAAATTGTTTGTGTCAATTATATAGACCTGAAGGGAGAGGAAAAAAAGAAGGAATTTTAATGATTAGATCTAGAGACCAAGTTATAGAATTGCAAAAATAGCTCTACGCGATTGCTTTCCAGCTATAAAATGAACTTACTTTAGATGTATTAGTGTCTTCGTCATGAACAAAAGTGATAATCCAGCCATCATCTTCTTCTAGACCACCTTCTTTAGGGACAAAGGCAGCTCCAGTGCCGAAGGTGTTTCCCTCAAATTCATGGTATTCTACCTTTATCTGCCCTTCACGTTCCTCCCGTTCCTGGATCACAGAATCATAATCTAGATTAGCATAAACTGATTCATTTGTGAAAGTAAGGAAATAATAATGAGATAATGAAATTGGACTAGCTACTACAGCAATTTAATTACCTTACTCTCATACTCGTCAAAGTATAACTTAGCTAGACCTCCAAATTTTGGCATGCCTGAAACAGACAAATTGAAAACTTACTTAACATATATGAAACGGTCAGGGTTATAGTAAGTTTTAAATGGGAAGATAAATGAATTCAGGATTTATAATTGACCTGAACTAGCACTTGCACTGTCGTGCACAAATTGGGCGTAGCCAAATTTATTTTTGACACCATTAAAATTTGGATTGATCATAGGAAATTCCATAGAGAATTCAGTTCCAGTGAGGTTTCTCTCTGTAACTCCTCCGGTTCTCATGTTTAATCTCCATTCATAAAATCTGCAGAACAACAATTCATCTTTTGAAGAAAATTTAGCTTCTTGCTCCGCAGGATTCTTATTCCTAAGCCTTCCAGAAACCCACTCGGACTTGTCCAAATCCATATCCCAAGATTCTGATATGACTGATTCCAGTGACCTGCATCCCCTCACTACAACCTATTCCAATAAATAAATAAAGATTAGTTTCATTACAACGCATGCATTGTGATTATAATTTAGTTCTACATCTAATTATTTAATTAAATTAAGCTAAAACGTTTTCTTATTACTTACCTCATCGCCTTCCTCAAAACAATTGAGAATGTGAAATGTGCAATTTGGTTCCACCTCAAACCAACGGATTGAGTCGGCATCACCGTACCGGGGCATAATCCCAATTCTTGCATAGTCTTCCTTATCAAACTTTATTAATCTACAAATTGGCATCATAAGCCAGATTAGTAAACTTCACGTAGATTTAATAGTATTTAGACCAGAAGATACTGATAAATTGATCAGAACTAATATCTATACTCACGGGCCTCCTTTGATGAGTCTCAGTATGTCTATTGTTAGGGGAAAATCCATGATCACATTATACCTGCAAAATAAATAAATAATAAAGGTTAATTTTTCGCATATTCAATAGTATCTTTGTTTTTTTTTTTAATTAATTATTTTTTTTCCAATAGTGACAGAGACTGTTGATGGTGATATATATGATCACTAACCTCTCTGTAACCCCCATGTCATGACTAAGGGTGCACCTATTCAACTTGACATCAACCTTGTGAATCAGTCTCTTTCCATCGGCTGAAAATTGGGTTTGCAAGTTCAATTGTCAAATAAGTAATTAAAAATTGTTCTCAATTTTGGTTAAATACTTTTTTTTTCCATTCGTCAAAAGCATGGAAAATGAATATATACCAGAAACAACTCCGACTTCCATGAAAGGTTTTACTGCATCCACCCCAAAGACGACCAACTCTCCGGTAACAGGTGCTCTCTGAAATAAACAAGAAAAAAAAAAACAGAGAGAGATTTAGAAAAAAGAAATTAAGTAAGTCAAACTGTGAATTATATATGGAGCTTTTTTAACAAGTACTAAAAATAAATAAATAAATAAACCTTTGGGTGGCTGTTGAAAGGTCGATGCCAGGATCCATTGATATCCCAATCTCCTAAAGTCTGAAGGGAGAAGATGTCAATCTCTTGAGGAATGTGATGTTCAGCAATCGAGTAGAACTTCCCTGAATGCTCAAAAACATTGGTGTTGCTAAGATCTTTGTTGACTTTTCCAAATCGCATCTGAAATTAATTATCAGACAAAAAAATAAAGATTAATATCTTTCTGCTCTCTTTTCGTGAACAAGTACTCCTTTTTGGAATTCGCAATTAATCAAAACGAGAAAAACAGGTCTAGTTGAGAATTATAATATTTTTTTTATCATGGAGAATTTTATTAAGTATAATAACCAGAGATTCTACCAATTTTAATTGCTTCTTGTTGATGATAATGGTTTTCTCCTATATAACATTCTAATAAAAATTCAATTCCTAAATTAATCTCAAAACAAATAATTGGTTTTTGTTTTTAGCATAAGTTAAAAAGGCATGCACATTCTTTTTCAAAAAAAAAAAAAAAAAAAACCATGCAACGTAATTGTTCGTTATCTCACGGAATTAATTTTGATTGCTCCATATCTTGGCTTTTTATATGCGCATGGCAGATATTTTGTGAGAAATGAAAGAAATGTTAAAGAACGATACTTTTCAAAATATAATAATAACAAAGAGTTATGATCAATTGGCCCACCATATTCAACAGGTATGATAACAAAACTGCTGGCGGATTGCCTTCTACTGCTGGAAGAAAAGATGGCTTGTTTCGTTTTTTCTCAAGCTTGAATGTTTCGGTTTCCACATGTCTACTGTTGTAGAGGACCGTCCAGCTTCCAATATTGCTCTCTTTATTAAAATACAAAGCATGAAGCATTCCTTCTCCTTCTATCCATATGTGACCAGTCTTCCCAAACATGGAAGTCGTAGATTTTAGACCCCCAAATAGTGGATTTGGTCCTGAAATTATATATATCGTTTGAACTAGCTAGTTAGCGGTCTTCAATGGCAATTGATCGTAATAACGACTAGAGGAAAGTTTATTGAATAATTATAATTGACTTGACTTCAACAGTCCAATTCGTGATAAATAATAACAAGTTGATCGTACCAACCAACTCTGCTCGTAATTACTTAGAGAATAGACAAAAATAAATCGCACATACAGTATGGTCAAGTTGTTGTAATTGTCCACAACTCCATACTAGTCAAGTTGATCGTACCAACCAACTCTTCTCGTTTTAAACGAGGTATTTACCTATTTTTTTCAAAATAAAAATAATAAGATTTAATATTTTTCAATAAATATAAATTCATAATTCGAACATATAAAAAAAAATTTTTAAAATAGTTTGTTTACCATCGGATAACTTATTAGTTTTAGCAGTCACAACTTTCATATATACAAATGTCCTGCACACATTAAATACATAGTAGTTTCCGATTTTTATGTCCAACAACGATATTTCTTCCTTTAGATTTATTGGAAAAGCTAAAAAAAGTCTATTTTAGGATATCCACAAGCGAAAGAGGACACAAATTAAATAAAGGGTTGATTTCAAGAAGAGACCATTTCTTATGTAAACACCCCCGGGAAAATCATCTGGGACTTTGCCTTCAATGCTGGTGATAACGAAAGCTTCGTTCAATTCATCAACTGGCGCAAAGTTGCTCTGCAAAAAAACTCACAAACAGCCGATTAGCAAATGATTCATCAATCCTTAACGCTATTGGAGAGGCGAGTACTTAGTCAAGGTTTCGTGGTTTTATTACCTGAGAAGGAAGAATGGGCTGGTCAGCAAACTGAAACATCGAATCCACGAATGCATCCAAAAGTTTGCCTGAAGCATTTTTTATACTTTTGGAAACATCAAGTTGCAAGGGAAGTTGCTGCAAGTCTTTCAATAATGGCTGCATGCTCAAAATATCATTGTATTTATGTTAGATCCAGTTCTAGCAAACAAAACATGAATGGTACAGTACATATGATCAAAGAACCAATTACTATGTGTGTCATTGATCTAATCACGTATATAAACTGGTGACAATAAATAAGGATTCAGTAAATTAATATTTGATCTACATGCCTTTGGACAGAATGACAAAGAGAGACTAGGATTAATTACCTTGTAAGATGAAGACAACCTAGTCTTAAAACGATCAATGTTTTCGAAGAGAGAAGGCCGACTTTGTACAGAGCAATTCACGTGAAAAGCCATTGTTGATGTATACGGCATCTCTCTCTCTCTCTCCCGCTCTTTACTACTATCACCTTCAAAGGATAGCTTAGTCTCTATTTGTACAACTGATCCTAGATATGTAGGCTTTATAGGAATTCAGGGTCTTGATTTAGACGGATAGATTATAAATTAGTCCCTCTAATTTTGGAAAAAAAATTAATTAGTCTTCTTGTTTTAAAAATTAATTATTTATCCTTTATATTTTAAAATTTTCTTGTAACTTATTTTTTTTCTTTTCAATTTATTTTGATGTTAAAACTAATTACTTAATCTTTGTATCTTAAGATTTTTTTATAACTTAACCTTTTTTTCTTTTTTTCAATTTATTTTGAGTTTTTATTTCAAGAAAAAGAAAAAAAGTAAAAAATATGAAAGGATTGATGAAAAAATAAAATTAAACATAGTTAACATTAGTCAAAAAAATTAAATAATTTATTTTTAAAAAAGAATTAATTTATTTATTTTGAAAAAACAAAGGGACTAATTTATCTAATATGAACTTTGTTACAAAATGAAACAAAAGAAGGGCCTTAAATTAGACCATGCTTGTAGTCATGGCTGACCGAAACTTGTACGCATCAAGACTTATCTATAGTTTATGCTATGGAGCCCACGCAGTTCCACAATCATGTTTTTTAATCATTATTTATTTCTTTCTCGTGAGCAGATGTTGAAGGGAAATGATCATTGACTAAGGCTGTGTTTGTCTGAAAGGAAAGAATTTTTCTTTATTTTTTCATACTCATTTTGTATTTAGAAAAAAAGTCAACGAAAAATGATTCCCAATCAATAAAAAATAATATAGTAATTTTAGAAAAGTATTTTTCAAGTTAAAAAAGAAAAAAATATTTTTTATCTCTCTCACAAGTCTGTCTCGTTCTCAAGTTATTCACCTCTTTCTCGATATATTTTAATAATTTTTTCTTTATCTTCTTTTTATTTAAAATATATCAAATTAATTTTTAATTATTTTTAATTTTTAATTTTTAATTTTTAATTATTTAATTATTTTTTATTTCTACTAATATTTGATTTTTCGATCTATAAATACATTAAATATTCTTAAAAATCATTTTTAAACCTTAAAATTATTTTTATAATAAATATTTTAATAATTTATCTCTATTTTTTCCCCATTATCCTAAACACTACCTAAGTTATACTTAAATGATTGAAAATTATTATTATAAGACTCGTAATCATTTGCTAAAAATTTAGAATTCATTAATTCATTAATAAATACATTATTTTCCTAAAACTATTCATTTGCAACTAAATCAATAATTTGTGATTAATTTTAATCAATTGTAAAATTTTGTCGAAAACTCGTAGTCAATAATTAGTTACAAATTATTCCAACATTAATCTTTTGAAACCAAATGAATAATTATCTACAAATGATAACTAATAATTTATAAAATTATTTTTTACACTAAATTATCACATCAATTTCCAAAAAAAAAAAAAAAAAATTCTTAATTGAGTTACCAAAATAATAATGTTAGGATCACTTAAATTTTTTTTATTATTAAATGTGAATATTGACTTGATTTTGTCCCAAGTAGTTTTGATGAATTGGTTTGATAGTTAAAAATACAAATTTTATTTTTTTATTTTTTGAATTTAAATCTTAGAATTAATATTTATAAAAAATTATTAAATTTTTCTAAATGCATCTTATATTGTGAAATTGTGAATATATCTTATTGAAGTATCCTTAAAACTCGTTGTTATAACAATCACAACCTCGTTTTTGTATTTTAGTTTTCCGTATCAAACAAATGTTGAAATATTTTTTTGAGAAGTTTTTTCATGTAATTGTCAAACATCGGAAAATACTTTTTTGAAAAATAATTTCCTGAAAAATAGTTTCTCTAAAATTGATTTTCTTATTGAAAGTTGTTTTCCTCTAAACAAATGGAACCAAAGATTTGGATTTAAAAGTGAAATACATAAAAATGTGAAAAATATTAACAAATAGTTGAAGAAACTAGAACCATTGGTAAAGTTAAAAATGATGAACATGTTGAGTGAGATTTAGACGGGAAAATGATCCTAGACTTACTCAATTTTTTCTTTTCTTTCTAGTTCCCTAAAATTTGTAATGTATATAAAGCTTGTGGAATTGTGAAAAAGTCAAGTACCGATCTCACATTAGCTTTTATTTATTTATTTATTTTGAAAATGATTTTTAAAAGAAAATTTGTAAGATAATAATTATTATTCGTAGTAGTACTAGTAGTAGTGAATTACAATTGTACTCTACGTGAAAAAAGATATTAAAAAATAGTTGCTCTTCAAGCTTTCTTTAATTTGCTTTATTTTCAAGTTTATTCTTATAGTTTCTTATGATGACACTCTTACTTAAAAATTTCTTGTATTGCCTTTCCCCATATGTTACTTACTTAATTACTAAAGAGGAATTATTATTCTTTTTCTCAAAGAATATAGGTATCATTCTTTAAAAAAATCTTTTCAACAACTTAACAATCTAGATTAAAATTATTCCATTCTTATCTAGTTACTCTTTTACTTTAATAAGAAAAAAACTTGAAAATTCTAGATTTGGGTTATTATGGAAGCAAATTATAGTGTGCTATGCATCCATATATACTATTTACAATTCTTAACTATTTCTCAGAAATCTTTTAGGAAAATATAGCTATGAATTTTTTTAAGGAATATGCTTTTACTAGTCAAGGTAACCAATTCATCTTTTAAGTTCTTAGGTTTTTCTCTAGGTTTTGCGTATATCGTGACCTTGTACAATTCAAATTTTTTTTATCCAATTTAAGAGTTCTACTCTTAAGTTATTGTTTCGAGAACCTAATGTGTCATATAAGCACACATGATAAGGTCCACCCAATGATAAATTGAAACATGTCATGGTGGGTCCAAATTGATTGTTAACAAAAATTAAAAAATTAATGATGGTTTTTTAATAACTTAAAAAATAATAAACCTAAAAATAGGTTATGAAAATACTAATCTACGCTTACCCACTAAACCTAAAAATTCCCTAAATCCCTCCCCTCTCTCCCCATTCGTTTTAGTTTTTCTTCTCTCCTTCCTCTACCTCCGATTGAAATCAACAATCAACCTCATTTCCCTAATTTTGCAAAACCCAAACCCTAATCCTCATTCCCCTAATTTCTCCTTCTACTTTCTATTTTTTAATCCCTAATTCTCAAATTGTGATTCCAAAAAGAAATGACTTCATGTCATTGACATCCTCTTCATCTTCCAAGCGTTCATCAATTTTTTGTTTCTCTTTACCTCCTTCCATTGCAATCAACTTACAATTCCTAAATCGTAAATTTCAAACCCACATACCTAATCCTTAATTTCCCAATTATAAACCCTAGTTCTCATTCCCTCTTAACTTTTCCTCTCTATTTCTTCTTCTATTACATTTTCTAATCCCTAATTCCTAAATTGTGATTCTAGAACAGAATGATTTTGTCATCGATATCCTCTTCCTCTTCCAAGCATTCATCAATTTATGCTCTCAATGATGAAGAATTACAATGGAATGAGAAAGAACCTATAATTTCGTGTATTATGGCATGAAAACAAGTAAGTCGGTGTACGAGAGTGATGACCACCCAAGTGTAAAGTATTATGTTTGTGCACTCAATTCAAAGCTAAAGGTAGAAAAGATGTTGGGTGTAATTTTAAAGTGTGGTTCTAAGAAGAGTTAGATGGCAGAGTTAAAGATATTGTTTTGGTTTGCAAAATTGCTAACAAGAAATACATACGGAGAACTCAAGATTGATTTTGAAAAATGTTAGATTAAATGAAGAAATTAATATGTTAAGAAGTGAGAATGAAGAATTATTCATTGAATTAGAGACTGTGAGAATTAAGAATAATGCTTATAATGAACAAAAATAGAAGGAGAAAAAAGGTTATACTATTGGAGATTAAAGACCTAAAGTTGAGTTATGCTTATTTAATCTTGTTATCTAGAATTAGTAGAGTTCTAAAGCTATTTTGTACAATGATTTTCATTACGATTGTAAAATTTTATGTTTAATTATATGGAATGGACAATAATTCTTTGCCTTATGATTGTAGTCCGGAACCATAATTTGTAGATGCATATTATATGAAAATCTTACATTTTGATATCTTCATTGAGGTTATGAGATGCAAATCCTACACTTTGATATGAAGCCTCATAACATCACCTACACAAAAATTTCACACCAAAAGTTTCGAATTGTCCCTAACGAATGGCAGCATCACATCTCTTATAGCAACGAAAGGGCATAATAAGATACATGACCTTATTCAAAAACACTAGACTTGTCTAAAAAAATATTGAACTTGTCTCAAACAAAGTTGATGTTTATAGCTTTGAAATGTTGCTCGTTGGAAATGGCGAGGCGAAAGGAAAAATCATCCTTGTCTAATGATTCTATCGAATCTATAAGTTTGGTTGAAATAGATACCAAGTGATATAATATAAGGAATGCTCTACTCATATGCAGGAGAAATGATAGAAAAAGAGTGCTTTCTATTTTAGTTATTTGTTAAAAAACATTACGATAAATGGTAAGAATTCTTTTTTATCTACTATATGAAATTATATATATATATAAAGTTTACAGATTGTATTCGAACATTATAAATTGAAAAATTACATGTTCATAACTCGTCAAATATTCTTTATCAACTCATGGCATATTGCATGTTTTTTAGCAACATCCCAAAAGTTAATAACACTAAGCTAATATTAGATGTTGTTTATCCCAATACTTACTCTTGCAACCCTCTTGTCTTGAGTTTAATCTAGTCACCAAACGTTTTAGAACAAAACTTCAACCAACCTTTTCCTTGCTATTCTATTCTAATTTATCAACATCATTTTTTTTCTTTTTCTTTTTTTGACTTTGTACATCCTCCTCCTCCTTCTGCTTGCCTTTGTTATTCATAAGTCCATCATCATTTTTTTCTCTTCCTACATACAACTCCAA